TACTTGTTCTTAATGTTTAAACTTAATCATTAAATTAAGGTTTTACATTTAATTTTGGAATACTAATCGCCAAATATATGAGAAAAATGGAATATTAAAGAGAAACAGCAATTTCATATTAATTCTAACTGGCGGTTATTAATTTTCTTCCACAATTAATTAGGTTGATAAATATTTTCCAGTCTTTTACACCACTTTCTTTCTAGTTGTCTGTTAACGTTTTAGTGAGCCATTTTTTCCTTACCTTTTGTACTTCTTCCTAGATTTGGAGTCTTATTTCCCCATTCGCTTTTCACAATCTCATTCCAACCAAGGCATGTTTCCTATGAAAATTCAATGCTGCCAATATCCTGGGGCAGGTTTCAATAAGGTTATTGGTAACATCATTCCAATTGCTTGTATTTTATGTCTTTCTTGAAATTCTAACCTTTTTTCATTTTAAGAGCCAATCTATTATCTCTCTCTTTTCAATGTAGACAGCATTTTGCAGGATGACCTGTTCTCAATTTGAGTGCAAATGGATAAAGATCCTGTATATTTTATTTCACTGTGGCAAAGCAAAGTCGAGCACTGGAGTAAAGGGAGACTTGTAGAAGAAGCTCAACAGGTCTTATTTCAGGCTTGCAAATGGCATGATGCTCAGTGGGTATTTTTATGGTAAAGAGAAAACTGTGAAAGCAAAGCAGTTCATTCTGATGCTATGATTGGATAAACTTCTTCCATTCTTTACAATTAACATCTGTATTCTTTGCTTGGAACTTGGGTTGTTGGGCAAGATTTCTGGACCCCAGCAGTCCTAGTTGAGAATGATAAACAGTGCACATGGAAAATCCTCGTGGAAAGGAAAGGTGAAGGCTACAATGAAATTCTCTCCTTAGTGCCTTGGTTCCTGAACTGACAAGGTCTCCTTTGATATATAACAGACTATAGATTGGAAGAGTCCATGATTAAAGATATTTTAAGGTAGTTGGTTTAATTTTTGTGGAATCTTTAATTTTAATGCTTTACCTTCATCATGTTAGTTATGTAGAAATACACTACATCTAACAGACACTGAACCACTCTAGTTTTTACGTTTGATCATCTGTGTACAAATGGTTATATCTTTAAAAGAAAAGGCTAATTTGGTAGGGAGGAACAGTCGTTAGTGCGAGGGTCTTTCCTGCCGTTTTTTGCTTATTTGATTGGTTGAGAGGTATCCAGCAGCTTCAGAGTTTCTTGACATGAAGCTTTTCTTGCAGGATGTGTATAACTGCTACAGATCCAATGCTTTAAGCTTCCTGAACCTGAATATTGAGGGTCTTCCTTTACAGCATGTTATACTTTCAACACCTTTTCATCCATTGTAGCTGTTGTGGGCCTGCCAGAAGTGTCTTTACCTTTGAGATAGTCCCTTCCCCTCTTAAACTCTGCAGAGCATCAACAGACAGGGAAACAATCTTTGAACACATGCTGTAATCTTCCAAGGCTTGCTTTCTTGTCTAAACCAATCATAAGCTTGTAAAAAAAATAAGACTCTGAAAATGCTCTATCTTCAGAACCATCCTTGCTGATTGAGGAACTACAAATTGAACATGAATAGCCCTCCTAAGTTACTCAATTGATGGAGTGAGTTCAAACTTCGAGAGTTTATTACTAAAACTTCCTTCTAACAATGGAAGAAGACTCATTGTTTCTCGTTTTTATATTTTGGAGTGGCCTTCTTATTTAATGCTGTTTTACTATTATTTTTGTAATAAGTGTAATATTCTATATGTAATTTCCAGGGGCTGGAAAAAGCTGGACTCACAGAACCTCCTTCAGGTAACGCAAGAAGAGGTAGCAGTTCGCCAATTCCTCGGAAACGGCACCACCATAGCCACACCAGTTACACTCCTCCCCACATGACCCATCCAACCCACCAGAGTCATGCCAGCCACCAGACACACGAGACGCATATGGGGTTACCGAGCTCATGCGATGAAATGCCTCAAAATCCACCACCAATGCCCGATGCCCACTCACAGTTGCCGGGTTGTGAACTGCCTCCACCTTGCCAGCCATCCCCTTCCAGCTTGTCAACCACATCATCTCCTGCTGTGTCCACCCCTGCCTACAACCGAGCCCCATGCACTCCCCTGGTCCCCAATGTACATGATGATGGAAGCGATATGGGCTTGAAGAGGGGGTTACCTACACAAATGATGCTGGAACCGAAGATCGAGTACTTGGAGAAGACTATAAATGACAACTGTGTGGAAAATTTGACAATGCTCTACGACATGGATGAAATGACTGAGCTGAAATCTGGTGCACAACATGGAACAGATAGAACTGGTACCAATTCAGGTGGGTGACAGTCCAAGTATTTTCTTCCCTGAAAATTACTAGTGTAGCAAAGCTGTCTTATTCAAATGCTAGTACCCCATGCATTTGCTAGGTCACCAGGAAAAAGTTGGCAGTGATCTAGTTAGAGTAAGGCCAACTTCATGGTTTGTAGGAATACTTCTTTGTTATTGCCAAACTACTGATTAGTCACTATGAATGATTAGCATATTCAGTGATTTGGAAGCAATTCTAAACAACAAATTCTCTTACCTCTTGATAGTTAAATCTTACCCAAGAATAGTGCACTGTGATCTAACAAACTGATCTTCATTTAATGCTTTAAAATATGAAGAGCAGTTAAAATTCTTGTAGAATCAGATTTGTGATCATCAAACTTCAGTGATGATTTATATTTCAATATGAATGTTTTGAGTGCACAATCCAATGTATGTAAATAATGAAATGAAATACCTGTCACACCATTCTCAGCAAGGATAGTTAACAGATTTTTGAAGTTTCAGTTAACTCTATGGAGATTCAGAATATTTTTAACCTACTGCTCGCATTTCTTGTTTAAGATTGAATTCTCTCTTTGCACTCAAGTATTGCCCATTATACCTTATCAGTGAGAATGGCTTCCAGTTTATTTCCTTCAAAAAACCAAAAAAGATGTGTATATGTAAATAAACTTTTGCATGTGCTTTGTATGCATGAAGGAAAGACTGGTTTGATATTTGTCACTTCTGCTACGTAAAAATACAGCAGTTTTCAAGAATGTTATGAAGAGATGTGTTGTAAGTTTGAAGGATTAGGAGATGCATTCATTTTGCATTTTCTTCCTCTATTAGTTACAAAATTCAGGAGATATAGAGACCCTTAATGTTCGCAGGACGAATTGGTCGCGAGCCGCAGTTGGTCACTCGCACAAGACGCTCAGGTATGCTTCAGGCATTTTCTTCTGCCCTGTTCCCTTCCTATTCATATTCATGGAGAAAATAGCTTTAGGATTGACATGACAATTTATTGCTTAACCTTGGTATATTACAACTTCTGTCCATGGGAAGGGAGGAAATGAGCCAATCACCTGTGCTTTGGAACAGGAAATGGTTCTTTGCTCAGACATACAGTGTCTACCACAGTAGATTTGTGGTAGACACTGTAATAGCATAAACATTGCCATGTGTTAATGTACACTCATGATAGTGAGTGGAGGATTTCTGTTGACATGATTGAGAAAAGTCCCTCCCAGGTCAGAATCAATATGCAAAGATTGATGGTCTCAGTGAGAGTTGCTCTCTCCCCATAACAGCACTGCTGAGTGTGGTTGTAAAATGTCAGTCCTAAAGAAGTCTCCCACAGCTTACAACATTCAAAACCAAAAAGAGTTTTGCAGGTTTTGAAAGGATAGGACTGATAAAAGGGCTTCAAAATGCATGTTTTCTTCCTCATTTAAAGTACATTTGAATAGCAAGTTATGTTTATTTTTTTGTAGATTTTTATGCTCTTGAAGAAAGATCATACAGTTGGAATTAAAAAGTAACTCTTTAAATCAGAATTGTTGGAAAATTAATACAATTAGATATTTGAGTTTAATTATTGCACAATTTTTTGTTTAGGAATGCATGTGTGAGAGTAAAAAATATGTATTCACTATTTATTTGTAACATTTACTTAAATCAGTTTTATGAAAAGCTCATTTCATGATTTTTCAACATTACATTTGTGCTACCCAGCAAATTGCTCTGCCTACCTTCTTATAAAATTGCACCAAAACAGTTTTTGTAGCAAACTGCAATTGGAACAGATATTGTGTACCTCATAGTGACATATGTAAATGCAAAACATGTTTCTACATGTTCATTTCTAACAGGAGATGCTGCTCTTATGACAGATGATGCTAGGAGATAGTATGGTTGGTGGAATGTTAAATACTATATTGGATTGTACCCATCATATATTTAGTTCATCATATTTTAAATGTATCCATCTGAATGCACATTCTTTGATAATGCTAAAAAAATAGAATAAACATCATAACTTTTCCAAGGGTATTTGGTTACCATGATGTTTGGTGTGTGCTTGTTCTTGCATGCTTGAAATTGTCTTTTGAGTAGCAGTTGTATCCTCAAGCTGATGAAATTAAAGATGATAATTTAAGAATCTTTCCAAAATTTTGCAAAACTGGCTGAAAGATTTGAACCTGTTTTATTTTTTTGTAAATTTGTGGTCAAAATCCCTTCTTCATAAAATGTTTTGAGAGGACTTAACCATTCTTTTCTGTTGCTTTCTGGTTGATACAGCATGGACATTGTATTTTTTTGTGTTAGTGAAGATTTCCTTTTGAGAAATCTCGCAGTGGTGTTCATTTAATTAATTAGCAAAGAATCAGGTAGTCGTAACCAGTACAATCAATTTGTATATTTCTTTTCAGGGTTTAGAGACCATCCATAAATTATGTAAAGTAAATATGGAATATTTTGAATACCCCTTCTCCCCACTGTAACGCGTCCATAACGCTGGATTGTCCCCTATGTAAATTACATAACACTTGCAACAACAACAACAACAACCGGTGTAAATGCAAGAAATGAATGTAAATTATAGCATAGTAAAAATCATTTGTATTAATTTAATTTTTGCTGCATTAAAATTTATGTGGTAGAATAATGTGTTTACACCTAACAATAAGATTGGGGCAAGTTGAGAAAGACACATATGCGAGAATTGTTATTGCAAGCCGTGGAGATGCTGTCATCATGGATGGCACATTGGCGAGAGTCTACTGTGCCAATTGAAATGGATTCTAGAATATGCTACATATCAGTTATATTTTCCTTGCCTCAAACTCCCACCCTCCGTCCCTCTCTTTAGCGTAACGTAATTTATGGACAGCCCCTTATTGTAGCTCTCAGAAAAAATTGACTCACTTCATGTTGTAACTTGCAACCTTTACATTTAATACTATATTTTCTTGAATTCTTGCATTTTGTTTGAACACTTTGAAGATGACTTTGTCGATTTAGAAATAGATTTTGTAATATTTTTATTTTTTTTAATTAATTTCATTCTGTTTCTTCTATATTTATTTATTGCTCATGGTTTTCATTTGTATTTTGTAACAACTAAAACAAATCATTTAGGACAGCTATTATATTTCTTACCATTTTCTTATCAATAATGTTTCTTACATTGTAAATCTTCATGCATTATCATCATTATTATTACATTATATAGTACTACTAACACTAAAGTGATAAGGTCAGTGCCGTAGAGAATGTAATAGCAATAAGATTTGATTGAATGTTTTTTACTTCCTGGGTTTCACCAACTTCTTTATTCAGTAAGTCCCTCATGTGCAAATGCTTCTTTGATTTAAAAAAGTCTTATTTATAATGTAGATCGTCTTCAGTGAGTGCTTACTGTGTTGAAGGCCTAGTGCCCTGGAAAACAAATTTATGATATCTGAAGGTGGGTGCATTTCTATGGGAAGGATCTACAAAGAAAAAAAAAATTATATCCAGCAAACTGATGGAATCTTAGGCTTATCTAAAACATTCCCTCGCTTATCATTTTTAGAATTTTGTACCTTAAATAACTAGAGAGAATAATCAAAGTAAATATTTCACCTCTGATTACTTTATTGAATTGTTGAAAATTTAAATTAGTTGCACAGATTCAAAAAAGAATTTTCAGGTCTGAAGTTTTTAAATGGCTAATAGCATATTTTTCTCTCTTTCTACTTTTTTAGACAATTTTTATTTTAATTTTCATTTAATTATTAAAATTAAAAGAATAAAAATTATGTTTTTCAATTTAATGAACATAATTATTTTCCCAAACTTCTGTTGCTTCTTGATAAGATACTTTTATGATTAAGGCTCAGATTTTAAGTTGTCAAAAATAGGGTAATATATTAATTTTTTATGTGCTTGAAAAGTGAAAATATGTGTGAAAATGACAAAAATATTTATTACCAACATAGAAAATAGTAACCAAGAGCAAGACTAGTCTCAATGTAAAACATGACGTCATCCTTTTTATCACTCTACATTTCATCAGTGCAATCAGAGCAAGTTTGGGAGCTGCTTCTGTTGTGAGTGTGTGTTATTACTCAGTGTCATTGCCTGAACCGCCCGTAGTGTTAGAAGTGCCCTCAGACATTTTGACAGGACATGAACCAGACTCGCTCTACTCAAGTCAGGGATGTCTCGCAGTTACATGTGGTGTGTGACAAACCGTTGCTTTCCAAACTGGCATGTCTTTCACCGTATATCCAAAAGTTCTAGAGTTTTATACTTGAAAATTCTCAAAGTATTTATTTATTCATATAAAATTGAACAAATTATGTAATAATATTTGTTTTGGGAAAAATATTTATTTTTATGCAACTTTCTGAAAATATTTTTTTTAGGTGATATGCAATTTGGTGTATGGAAACCATGGGGTGCTATGTGAATTTCCAATGTACTTGCTTAAAGGGGGAAAATGTTTTTTATCTAAAAGTCTGAGCCTTGCTTTTGGTATAACAAAATTGTGTATTTGAGATAATTCTCTAGGGTGGTAACTGACCTTTTATTAAACTTCAACCAAATAATTTAATAAAATTTGTACAAACAGAAAGAAGAAAGCGAAATTTTTGTTTAAATATTTTGTAACAGTTTGTAAGACCAAATTTAGTATTAGTAATCTGCCTGATGGCTAGCCCATTGCAATCCTTGTACTTTTAACGCATAATCTCATCTAAACTCCTTTTGTGTAGTACAATTCGTTATTGCACCTCATTCTCCAAAAATATTTTCTAATGTAGAATATATTTCTGTAATGTTATCTTCACTCGAAGGTCCTTAGAGATTTTTCACTGGCTATTTTCCAAAATCATTTTTCTTTTCTCATTCTCTCAATTGAACTTGTGGATGCTTTCATCCCTAGATTTTGTTATATTTTACTTTAAGAAACTGGTTTCCTGTCACTTTCCAATTACTTTCTCCTTCTTCCATGGAGAAAGCCCTTTCTATGGCATTAATAACATCTGTAATTTGTACTATCATTTCTCCAGTTTTAGTCCTGATAGTTCCATTACTGCTAACTTTGTAAATCATTGTGGATTTTCTCATATTTACACATACGAGCTTCCTTGGTATTTCTAGTTCCTTGAAAATATCGTTCTTTTCCTTTTTCTGTGTAACTTGTTTGCCAATTTCCTCTTCTATTGTAGTTCTTTTTGACATTGTTAAATATTCCTCTTCTCTCTCTCTCTCTCTCTCTCTCTCTCTCTCTCTCTCTCTCTCTCTCTCCTCTCTCTCTCTTTTTTTTTCTTGTATTTCCTGTTTTTCATATTTTGTAGCGTGAGAATTTTCTCTTCTGCTTGCCATGTTTCTTCTTTATCAAATGCATCTATACAGAGGCGTTCCTAGGTACACAGGCACACGTGGGAAGCATAGAATTATCGCCCCTGTCAGGATACCAAATTATGGTTTTTGTTCTTTGTTTCAGCAGGTATACTTTAAATAGTGCACCTGTGAGTGGCGCCCATGGCTCGTGCTGTGTCTGCCATTCTGTAGAAACGCCTCTGCATTTATGTCTTGCTTTTCTTTTCTATAGTAAGAGTATCTGTGAGGAATTTTTGAAGACTTTTCCGAAATGTATGTGCAAGATTGAACGAGGTGAATTGTTTTATTATTCACGTTGAGATGTGGTATCAAAAGTTGAGTTATGGTGTGCTAAAGGTTTAATTTATAGTGTGGTCGATTATGGAGGGAGTGATGCTGCAAGTGGTACCCTTTTCCTTTGCAGTTACTGTTGAAGCTAACAATATTGATGGCTTTGAACAATTACAAAAACACCTCACATCCCAATGAATAAGCCCCACCTTCCCATCAGAGCCAGGATTGTGTAAAGCATAAAATCATTTTGGGCCTCCATCAGAAACCCAAGGAACTCGGTAAAATTCTGAAAACAATGAAATTGTTTCTATTTTCACTTAAAAATGCAAATACTTCATTGTTATTCAGCATGTTTGCATGCTGTGCATACCGGTTGAATTCTCAAACTCAGTGCATCACTTACGACACAGTTGACGTCATGGGGCAGAAAGAGTGAACAAGAGCCGACTTCTATTAAATATTTTTTATTCACATGTTATGGAAAAGCATCTTGTTTTATATTCTTGGTACTATGTAAAGAACTTTTGCAATGTGAGAATGAGGTTTTAGTTAGGATATTTAATTTAATATTTGTTCCTTGAGTATTGTATTTGTTCTTGGGCAGTATGTGTGCTGCTTTCCATAAAACCATGTTGCATGCTTTTGTTCACCTTCATTTTCTGCAGCTGCATGCCTCTGATATAAGAATAATTTGGATACAAACTTTTTTCATAAATTATTTTACAGACTACATATTTTATGACTTTCAAAAAGTTTTTTTTTTCTTCGGAGCGCGTGACCCCGAAGCTTATTTTGCTTATGGAAAAATCTGGCCGTGCTCCCTCTCTGTGTCCCCCATCGTACCTCACTTCTCCCATCGCGATGATACCCCGCAATCCGAAATATTGGTATTGATCGAACCGATAAATCGTATTTCGGTACTTAAATGGATGAATTTGATTAACTGCGTTTTTGTAATAGAAACTTCCGTTTCAAATTTCACTTGTGTAGAGTTTTGTCTGCGTCATGCCCGTCACCGCCGGAGGGACGGGACGGGGGAGCGAATCCCCTCTTTTTTTGTATATTGGAGGAAATCCCAGTAATCTGTTCCTTATTTGATGAATCTACCCCCTCCCCCACTTCTTCAATAATTTGGTTGTGGAATATGCATGCGCACCCTAAAATACGAGGGGGCACCAAGTATATTTCTGGGCCCCTTTCAAAACGAAAGAAAATCAAGAATTGCGCATATTTCAGGAAATAAAAGTAGAATTACGGCTACTGAGCCCCTTTTGAACATATTGAGGGAGCCAAGCCTTACGGGTGCTGGTGGGCGTGGGCCTGTTGCGGAGACGAGTGTTTGCTGACGCGCGTGTTGGTGTGTTGCAGGGTTGCACCCGCACGCGCACGCGCGGCCGCTGCGCTATCAGTGCGACGAGTGCAGCAAGGCGTTCCCGCGCGCCTCGCAGCTCAAGATCCACCGGCGCACGCATACCGGTGAGCGGCCCTACAAGTGCCTGAGCTGCGCGGCGGCCTTCATGGCGGCGGGCGACCTCAAGAGACACATTCGTATGCACACAGGCGAGCGCCCCTACCACTGCGACGTGTGCACGGCCGCCTTCAAGAAGTCCGGCGACCTCAAGATCCACAAGCGCCTGCACACGGGCGAGCGGCCATACCAGTGCGAGCTGTGCGAGCGCTCGTTCATCAGCAACAGCGACCTGCACAAGCACAAGCGCGTGCACGGCATCCCGCCGCCCGGCCAGCGCGCCCGCGACGCCGCCACCGCGCCGCCGAGGCGGCCGCCGCCAGCAGCATTATGAAGAGCGGCCCCGCGCGCGCCGCTTCCGCCGGCCGCCGGCCCCGCGCCCGCCGCCGCCGCCAGGGCCGCGCTTCAAGAGGCGCCAGCAGCTGGCCGCAGCTCAGCACGCGCGCCTCGGCCGGCTGCAGATGCGACGGCCGGCGCGGGCAACGGGGCCCACGAACCCGGAGCCCGGCGCCCGGCCCCGGCGGCGGCGCGGGACGACACGGCGGCTGACTGCGCGCCCCGGCCGACGCGGCCGACACGCAGCCGCAGCAAGGCCTTCGCCTTCCCCGCCTCCGACGCCGTGTCCCCCGCCGCTCCGGCTCTTGCCGCTGCCCCCCGGCCCATCTCCGCCTCGCCTCCCATGGTCATGCCCATCCACTCCCCGGCCCATGCTGTGCCCGCCCTCCGCTGCCTCCGCCGCCATGCAGCCGCCGCACATCCAGTCCGCCCACATCGCAACTGACTCCGCCGCCCCCGCGCCACCCACATCACTCGCCCCTTCCAGACACTCGGCTCTTCCCGGCGCCGCCGCTCCACACCCACCCCCACGGCCCGCCTGCTCCCCTCTGCTCGCCCCTGCCCTTGCAGATGGCCCAGCCCCCCGGACCAGGAACCCCACGCCGGCCGCCGCCCTCGGCTCCCCGCCGCCCCTCTGCGTCTGCCCCCGCCGCCCGCTGCCGTTGCCCCCGCCGCACCCGCTGCCTCTGCCGCCGCCCCCGCCCCCCGGCGCCGGCGACCTGCCACTGCACGCCATGCTCCCGGTGGGGGCAGACGCCGCCGACTGCACCATGGCCTGCTACCGCTACGCGTCGCCCCATATGCAGCCGCCGCAACAGCAGTGAATGATCACGCGACGGCGTTGCATGGGTGGACGTCTGCTTCATGCATTTATCGCGAAATGTAAGGACTGTGTGCACGGTTGGAACCGCTCCTCTTGAGTTCCGAGTGCACCTTCTTCTTCAGTGTCTCCAAATGTTCTTAGCGATAGCTTCTCCTGGACGTTAGCTAGCTAAAACATAACAAACAAACGTAAATACTAGAACATGGAAATGTTGTTTGTCTGGTTCCCCTAAATTTCAGTTGAAATGGACAAAAGTGGAATGTTGCCAGAAGACTTAATACACCATGTTTCTGAATTTGAGTCGCATGGGAAACTTTGAGTACTTCACGTAGCATATTTTCATGACTGCTATCATTGCTGTTGATATCAGTGATCCGTGGATGTACCTGTCCCTTGTACTCTTCAGTAGTTATTGTGCTTTGAATTGTTTCTGAAAATGATCCACAATTCCATGCTCCTTGTAATTTTTATCAACTTGTGACTGTAATTTTATCACCAGATGTTGGTTATCATCACATTTATTGAAATGAGATTTCGTATTGTACTTGATAACTTGTGATTCAGTTTTGAAGCGTACAATTTGCTTGTTTCTCTTGGAGAGTACTATAAAAGAAACTGAAACCTCCAGAAAAAAGCAAAAGTTCTCTAAATAATATTGATCTGTTTATTACATATGTCTGTGCTGATGAATATTGGTGGAAATATTCCCTTGATAACATACATGTTTCCAGTAGTTGTTTAATTGCAAATTATTTGATTAGATGCAAATGATCATTTTAAAAATTGCACTTAGTACTTGTACCAATTTGTTACTTGTGAACGCACATGGAATCATCATCCACTGCTGTATCCTCACAAAATATAGACATTTACTGTTATTTCATTAAAGTAATTTCATAAGTACATGTTTGAATTTTGAGACTCCACAGTATTTTGTCTTCATATGAAAGTGTTTCCTACTGGATATTATTTTTAATTTATTATATTTTAAAAGCAACATTAATTGTTAGAGAAGTTAAGGATTCTTTGTAGTTAGGTGTGTTTGTGCTGCTGAATAGTCTGCAACCATCTTAGGCTCCTTCTACCCTACCAGCACCTTGAGTGCCTTTTATCATTTTGACAGAATTTACCTAAACATATTAGAATTTTAATATCATTGATGTCTATGTAAGTATGTATTTTTTGCCTCTATCAGAAATAATGTGTTTCAAGTGTTTTCTAAGATTTTTGTGGTAGAAAATCTGCCTACAATGATATATAGTATATGTAGCACAAATTATTCTGAAAAGTATATAGAATGCTAAGGTGGAAATAAAACATTATTTTGTGTATGTGATGCATATATTTAAGTACATAATTTATTAATATTCCCTAATGTGTACAGGGACATGTTACTAGTATAGAATACCAATTGGTTTTCAGTTACTATTAGCGTCTTGTATGTTACATAAATTATATCGTAGTGTGTATAATGCATAGCTAAGTTATTTTTTTAACAAAACAAGTGTTTCATCTCAAACATTTTTCAGAATGTATTTTCCTGAAAATTACATTTTCAGCGTAAAAAGGAGTACAAATAAATACTATTGATGTTTGTAAAGGAGTGGAGAGTGAGAATCTGACTAGATGAGAAATCTTGTTAATTTATACTTTTAATATTGTTAAATTTACTTTGTATAATGTAGCATGAAAAGGAATTTAAGAATAAGAAACCATGGAGAGATGTATGTTAGACTATTTATTTAAACATTGGCAAGGGTTTATTTTAGTAGTCCTTGTTTTTTTCTTTTCAGTAATGCACTTGTGAACTTATTTGCAAGTACCTGCACAAGAGTGTTCTTTAAATATTCATGAATATACCTCTTGTCAGTTATTATTTTACAAAAAGGTTGTCTTGTATGAAGAAGAAAAATTTCAATTATTTCATTATACAATTCTAATCATGGTTCAGTATTCTGTAGGAACAGAAATCTATTCCTCTGATAAATGTATTGGAAACTGCCTTTCAAAGTTCATGAATTCCCCATCGTCAGTTACTCGGATAAATTACTTTATAAGTAAAAAAAGAAACAAGTTTTTCAGATTATCGTACAAAAAATGTTGGATTCATAATGACCTTGCAAGAAAGTTATGTACATTGTACTTTTGACAGTGGGAAAACAACACAGCTGCTTGTGAGGTAGGTATGTAGTTTCCAAACATGCTTCATATTGTTTTTCTGCATTATTTTTCTAATTTTGCCTGTTCTGTGAATTACATTAGTTTTGAAAAACTTGCACACAAAAACTTAATTATTTTTACATCTAAAATCTGCGGTATATTTTTCAATGTCATGCTACTTTGTCATCAGTGTTGGTACACTATTTATTATGATATATGACCTTTGTCACAATTTTTCTAATTTTCAATTTTGTTTAATGTTTATTTCATTTTTCCTGTTGATTGACAAGGTAAATGGCATGACACGACACTAGAGAGTTGAAGCCAGTGCTTTTCCCTTCATATGAAAAAGTTTATCAATTAAAGAAAACTTAAAACCTTGAGGATTGAAATATAATCACAAGTTTGATTTTGAAGCTTGTAGAAGAATCTGAAGGAATGCTGAATCCAGACGGCCCTGGCACATGTATCTGTGTGTAATGGTTTTAGTGCTTTAAGAAAATTTGCGGTTACACTTGGTATCTTGTACATGTTCTGTCCAATAAACAATTAACTGCTGGAAGAGGAACCATGGCGTAAAACTACTTTTAAAGTTGATTCCTTTTACAACTTTTGCACTTGTAAATTGAATGTATGACAAAGATACTCTTATTCCAATTAAAGAGAATTTATACTATATTCTCAGTAACTTGTGTTGATATCTCCTGTCATTTCAAGGAAAAAATAGTGAGGCTCACGTTTGAGGTAAATAATGGAAAATCTGGTAAAATATTTAGGCATTGATCCTTGAATTTGATTTTAACAGGTGCAATATGCACTGGTCATTTTTTTTTGGAACTGATTTCATACATGCTTTTGGTTTTTCACCTATAGAACAAAGTTATCAGTACTTAGCAAAAAAGACAAAACTTTAAACTCAATGAAATGGTATTTGAAAAGAAAAAAAGACACATTTTAACTTCCGGAATCCAATATCTAAAGAATAGGCAGAAATCACAAATTTTGCAATTTTTTTATATATAAATAATATACATACTTTTATTAACTATGTGATTACATAAAAATCCACATATCCTGCCTGTCGTGAGCATTTGCTCAATAATACAGTATGTAATTGCTTTGTATCTTATTATTGCCAACTAAAATATTTTTTGTTTCCTCTTCACCTTTTTTTTTATGTATTACAACCCTAGAAAAGCATTATACAATTGGCACAAATGCTTATCTAGAAACACACTAAGTATTGAAAAGTCAATGTCCAGTATGTGCATCTTTGTTAAAGAGTTGTTTACAAGGGGAGAAGTTGCTTCAATTTCCCCCCCCACACACACACACTTTAAAAAATTCAGGAATTACATTTTTACACAATGCATATTTAACTAATGAACATAATCTCATATTAATACTATCCAAGTATAGGCAAATCCACAATTATTGACCAGGTTCATGACTTAAAATAATTGGGAAAGACAGAACATAACTTTTTATACTATGTACTTAGTACAGTGCATGTATTTATTGATTTTAAGTTAACCTGTGATACCATAGAAGAAAGCATTCACAGTATGAAAGATCTTGTAAGAAATGTTATAAGAAATTATTCAATGCCAACCTAGAAAATGCAAGATGCTTTGTTAAGCTACAAAAAAGTATTATGTTATTAATGTCTTTTAAAATAACTTCATATGTTGAAGCATGACAAAGCGATTGTTTTGTGGTGCAGAAAGCTATTAACCTGAATCACTGGTGAGAAAGCATGATTGAGAAGCAAATAATGGTAATGAAGGTAGTCATGGCCTGTAGCAAGTTTACCAAAAGTTAGGATTAATTAGGTTTATAAAATTGAATTATTTTCATTACAGTGAAATGTACAAAGCTAGAAACAAATTATTTTGAAATATGAATTTAAATAATTAGTCCTAGTATTTTTTTTTCTCAAAAGATCATTACCTATGGTTACAAACTCAATTTGGTACTCAACATTTAATAGGGAAATTTTATGAATAGTCTCGAGTTCATCGGGTAATACAAGTCCTGTAAATTAGGGCGTAGCGATAGCCGAGCCGAGTAATTAACCTTCCGGAGCCTTTTTTGTAATTTCTTGTTATTAAAAATAAATATTTAGCACTAATAGTTAAGAACTGTCATTACTCTCAATGTTATGTAGGAAGTTTTCGTGGTGCCGCTTTCAAATAACAACCGCTGTGCGCGGAAGGATTAAGGCGGGGTAAGAAGGATGCCCCTCCCCTGGGGACACCGCCTTGAAGTAGCACTGTCCGTGCGGGCGGGGAGGCTTGTGTGCTT